CGCCAAACTAACACCGCTGAATTGCGTAAGCTTGCCCCTTCCTCTTTCTCTCCAAGGCAATTTAAGAGCATTCGCCTCGTACACAGATGGAAGGCACTCGTAGGGAGTTACGAACTACATCCATTCCTAAGGAAAAATATGAAGCTGGCCGGGCGCAGCTTCTGGAGATGGTCAGAGGATTAAGTCAGCCTAGCGCCATCTTCCAACTGTGTCTTTGATGATTTCTAGGCTACACGTTATTCATGAAACAAAACATTTTCCATTAGTGTTGCTTCTCCTCGTTTTTGACTCACAAAACGACCGATTTGAGATAAAATGCCTTTATAATTTGGAAAGGTACGTTTTGCTGGAATTAGGAATTTTCTCTTAGATGAATGTGGCCACAATAAAGTATAGGCTTGTGTCACTGTGATGAGTATTACTTGGTCCATAGACACATAAATACGTCTTTTTCAAGTTATGTGATGTTGGTTTCATTTCTGATAAAATCCGAAGGTCCTTTCCCCAATTTCTAGGGATCTCTCTATCCTGTGGTGGTTTCTCAAATCCATACCAAAATAAGACTTTGGATTGTATACTCATATATAGAGAAACACCTAGTTATTTGCACATAAGTATCCACATTTATGTATCTATATCTTGATAGAGATATGTGTGCATATATATGCACATGCGAGATACACACACACACACACACACACATACACACACACGTGTGTATGAGTATATTCATTGGCAATATTCAAATTCTGGATTTTCCTTAATATTAAAGAGTTCCAGCAATGCTCTGCCATTGTTTTCTAGAAACTTTCTGGAACACCTTGCCTGGACTGTTCCTTCCATTTTTATATATGACTTTCTATTGTCATCAATGTAAGCTCAAGAAATACAAAAACATTTACTGCTAGCCAAAGATAAAACATAATTAGGAAAGTTAAAATGTATAATTCATTTAAAAAAAATTAGAAATGACCTTCAGTGATTTTCTGCTTTGCATTATATGCCCTACTGTTTCCCCTCCATTAGAGTGGATAATTGGGAGTTCACCAGATTCACGTACACTTTAACTGCCTTCTCTCTCAGTATGGAGAGAGTATGGCAGGACTCTATAATCTGAATATTAGTGCTTTTTAAAATAAAATAGTCACTCAGGTATTTAATTGTTATTTATATAGCGTGAGTGATTATTTGAAAAGCTGAATTACTGGATGTATTCTAAGGGAATGGGAACGATTTCTTGTAGGTTGACATTGCATAGTATCTATAAAGCTGCAGATCAACAATCTCCCCCACCCTTCCCCTTGTACACGCACACACACACACACACACACGCACGCACACAGAAAACACGAATGTTTCTGATATTTACATCTACTGTTAGGTAGTGCTGCTGGCTCAGAACGGCTGCTGCTTTCCACCCTCCAGGTGGCTGCGTTTCAATGGTAGGTAAGTGACCCCGATGCATGCAGTTTGTAAAGCTCTTTGGCCTTCTGGATGAAAGGTGCTAGGTAAATATAAGGTATTGTCATTATTATATCCCGACACTGCAAACCAGTGCATTGAAGAGTAAAGGAAGTCACGTGGCCACCTACTCCCACAACCCACACACACATACATACACCCACCCACACACACACACACACACGTGTGTACACAATGCTGGGAGGATTCTCTGGAAGAACTTTGCCAGGTCCTACTGGGCTCTAGAAGTTGGCCAGTCCTCAACCAGTTGACAAGGTCTCTACCATTGGTCTGTTTTAGATGCCTCTTCCCTCCCCAAAGTCCAAACCCTTTTCCTGGCCTACTGTGTCACATGGCCATTTTTTTTTGGGGGGGGGGGAGGTGCTTAATGATTCTACACCGGCCATGTAAGTTGCTGCCTTTCTCAGCATTCCCCATCCTGCCCAGTTTGTTGGCACCGAATGAGGAGAAAACATGCCTTGCACTTAAGGAGCCCAGCCAGGGAAGGAGAAAGATAAAAGGCTGAAGTTGATACACAATTCAAAGCAAACAGGAGGGAAAACAGAACTTTTCTTATAAGGCCAAATAAAACATCAGTGAAGGAAACTGAAATGAGTTGGCCTGCAAAAGGGGCCAACCAAGCGACGTGGGCATCGGGCACAAAACATTCTTCGTAGAAGAAGTAGTGGAGGAGCGAGTATGTTTTGGCAGCTCGTGAGTTCTCAATGGCAGAAATAAGAACTTGTACATATGGGGGTGGGCAGGGGAGGGTGGGGGAGAAAGCTCCCAACCCTAATAAACTAATCTCAGCTAATGTAATGTTTAGCAAGATCCTTGGATAATGATACCACGCGTGTCATTATCATCATCAAAACCCAATCTATGTTTTAAAAAGTTACAGATGATTAACACAACATCAAGTTGATGCAAACAATTACTTAAAACGCTCGCACACACATACACACACACGCACACACACACAGAACCAGGAGGTCCCCATATTCTGTAGAATGAGGGAGGCTGCAGCTGTAGGGCCGACAGCTTTCATATCCTCATTTGAATAATGTGTCCTGAATCTGTCACTTTATTCATTCTCCTTATGCTCAGTGTACTCTACATCAACAACAAATTAAGTTGTAAATAAGAGACAATCATCACTTTTGTTTTTAAGCAGCTACTGCATAGAGAATTTCAATGTACGCTCCTTTTTCGACAGGGGGAAAAAGAGGTGCTAGAGTTTGCTTTCATAAGCACAAATATGGGGAAACTAACAGAAACAAAAACAGAAACAGTTTACTGTTGCTGAGGGGAGAAAAAAAAAAAAACACCCTCTAAAGCACATTCGTTCAGTACCAGCTGAAATTTCTTCCAAGAAGTTACTAGGACATATAAAGACAGGCTAAGTTTCCCCGACTACACTGGAAACTCATGTGACTTGTTAATACCAGTCCCCTGGACTTAATACGCAAGGGACATCTTTGTTTGGCCTGGCTATAGACAAGACAACAAGTACATTAAATTCATTGCGACGCAGGTGTATCAATGAACTGATTCCGCACTCATCTCCATTAACTTCCAAGAGTAGAAATCACCAGGACATGCACAGAAATTGAAAAAAAAAATAATACAAAATGTCCCTACCTTTACATCGGAGAAGTAGGTCTTCAGCATATTGGAGCTGGGATAACGGGTATAAAAGAACATGAGTTTTGCTTTTTTCAAGTGATTGGGTGACAATCCTTCCTGCATGTAGGATGCAATTGGTTAAGGAAAAAATTTCTTTAAGCACAAGGACCGACCACCTCCCCACCACTGGGAGTCTGGAGGCCCACCAGGCAGCCGTGGGAATTCTGGAGGGTAAATGGTATTGGCCGTGGAATCCACCACTAGCTCGCTGCCGTTTGCTCGAAATGCCCATCGTCTGTCAGCAATTGCCAAGTGTCCTGGTGAGGGTACACGATTTAGTTGCAGAACCTTGGCTAACTTTGCGGCGAGGGCGGCAAAAGAGTGGCCCCGTTGGAGGTCCTTACGCTAGCTATACGTTCACTTGTTGCTAAGGAGACAAATGCACCCGACGTGCTACACAACTCTTATCCTGAGAGTTCTTCCTTCTTTCACAATGACAGTTCTGTTTATTTCTCTCTCCACACTCTGCAGTTTACATCAAATTATTATCCTAATGTACGTGAAAACATAAAATGCATTATTTTGAACACTGTCAGGCGAGCTTCGCATTTTACCTTTTAGTGCTAATCTAATGGAGCATCTTGACTCACTTTCTTCCCATCTTATTATTGTATCTTCTTAATTGTTTCCTTTTAAATAATAGCTAAAATTTGGGAGGGGTAGTTTTAGCACAGAGAGAACGCGGAGGGGGTGTCGCTTTTGTTAGAGCAACGATCCAAAAACCAAATACAATTTGCATCTCCCGGATTTATAGTTAACTCCTTGGAGAGTGGCGTGGTGGTTGGGGCTAACAAATCAATAACTGTGGGTTAGCAGATCAATAAATGGCCACTTACCCCAAATAAGAAGGCCTATTTATCTGGAAACATCATTACCTTTTAGATCTGTAAACAGCAGCAACTAAAACAGTTCCCAAGAGAATGTGAGACTAACCATAACAATCCAGGCTTCCTGATTCTCCCCCGGATTCTTGGCACTCTTCAGCAGACTCAGGCCTGGGATGGCTCTGGTCACATCTGTGCCGCAGCCTGGCCCTGCCATTTCCTCAGCAAATTAATGGCTTTATAATTTATCAGAAATGAAGATGCACGTGGAGAAAATCAATGTGGTCCCCCACAAGGTCAATTAAGGGTCCTTCCTAGAAGCTTCTCTAAGGATTTTCTCTTAAAAGAGAGTCTGAGAAAAATAAGGAAAAAATAAGGAGAAAAAGAAAATGAGTACGTGTGTATGTGTGTGCGTGTGCGTGTGTGTGTGTGTACACACACGCTTTCCCACAAAATGAAGATGCACGTGGAGAAAATCAATGTGGTCCCCCACAAGGTCAATTAAGGGTCCTTCCTAGAAGCTTCTCTAAGGATTTTCTCTTAAAAGAGAGTCTGAGAAAAATAAGGAAAAAATAAGGAGAAAAAGAAAATGAGTACGTGTGTATGTGTGTGCGTGTGCGTGTGTGTGTGTGTGTACACACACGCTTTCCCACCCAACAAATATCTCACACCTTATGAAAACAAGGTCAAATAAACACAGATATTTAGGAAACGTATAAGTTCTCAAATGACCTCCACGGGGTACAGCGTGACCAATCTTAGAACAGAGGGAAATCAGAAAGTTACTAGAGAAGCATAATCAAACTAATATTGATAAGCTCTTGACTGCTTATAACAGCGTATGCAACCGAATATGCTGCTGAGAAGGTGATTAGCATTCCCTCTAATATCATGCAAATTTTTAAAAAGATCACCTTGGTTTGTAAATAGAAGAGTTAAACATTGAGCTTTTTTTTTTATTATTATTCACGGAAAATAAACACTGAAGAAAGAAATTTTGATGTTATATCTGTAAGCCAAAGCAGCTTAACTGAACTTGTGTTTTTGTTTGAGATCCTTAATGATTACAAAGACGATAATTTATGACTGACATACTTTTTGTGCCAAGGAAAGAGCTGAAAGGCCCTCCAGTAACCTCCATTAGACAGATAGAGAAGACGAAAGGAGAACAGCACACTTCAGGACCATCTGTCCAAATGGATAAGTGAAATAATAGTTGCAAGCTGTCTCCTATTGCCTCGTGATAAGAGTTTTAGGCAAGTCCAAACTTCGACAAACATTCTCAGATCTGAGTTCTAATCTTTTTTTTTTTTTTTTTCAGATGGCTATATTAAAACCACCTCTAACATTTAATTACTGGTGGGGAAAAGTCCCAGATCTTTTAAAATTTGGTCTCATCCAAAACAAATTGTTTTGTGGTGGTTCTCAGATGGTTTATAGAGCCACCAAAACTTCCTGAAGCTTTCAATACGTTTAAATTGTGCTGAGATGGTTTAGTTCTTTTTATTTAAAAGACAAAGCAAATCATCCATCTTATTTTGATGGGGATTTAGAGGCTTTTTATTTCATGAAAAATTATTCTGATTCGAATTTCTCAAGTCTGTTTTTGCTTTAAAACGTTTCCTGTTGGTAATACTTGGAATCGATCAGTCGAAATGGAACACAGAATAAATCTTTATCTCTTGCTCATCGTGTAATTGAGATAAAATTCCCATAAAATATATGTTTCTAATAAACTATTAAAAATAGCTAATGAAACATTTAAAAGCCAACAGTTAGATAATCCTTTTTTTTCTCCTCAAAATAAATCTGAACTGACCAATTGGTTAATTTCCCTTTTAAGTGCTTGTGCTGAAAAGCAACTGTTCTTCCAAGAAAGCACTAGCTGTTTCCAGGATACTTACACACGCACAATGACTCATGATGGAATAGATTCAGTAAACATACAGCTGTACTGAACACGAGCTAAGCTCCATTCAAGGCCAGGAAAGAAAATGAGCACAAATAAATATTAAGGAGGTAAAGGGGGGTGGGCGAGGGGGGGATGGAACGCAAACAAGATCTGTCCAGGCAGCTCATGTGGCTTTGCCTCAATTCTCTTAGCCATAGCTTTGTGAAGACAGATGACATTCAATTCTATGTGTAATGCAAAATAGACAATAACTGCTGAAACTTGAGACAGCTGCCAGGTGTAAAAAAAAAAAAAAAAAAAGAAAGAAAAGAAAAAAAGAAAGAAAGAAAAAAGAGAAAAGAAAGTAAAGATGATAAATCCATAAATTAATGAAAGACATCTGCTCGGGAATATAAAAGATCAGAGGAGTAGAGTACTACAGCTGAACATAGCGGTGTTCAAACAACCTGAGAATCTCAGTGTTGTCTGTTTACCAAGCACAATATAACCTTACCTAAGCGGCAGCAGCAGGAGGAGCAGCAGAGGCAGCAAAAAGGCAAATGGGAGAATAATAGGTTGTGAAGGCTGGAGGCAGAAAATTCTTTTTTTTTTCCCAGTTGAACTCGGAATTGTGGCTAGAGATTTTTCAAGCTGCATTTCTAACCGAAGGGACCGCTTACTTACATTTTCTAAACCACTTTGAAACCCAAAGAATTTTCGCTTTCTCCTTGTGCTCTGATTTGCTGTTTCTATGAGCCTTGCCCCCTAGAAAGCTGAAATGGAGAGAAAAGGTCTAAACACTCTCATTTCAAAAAAGTGACAGAGCAAGTTGTTGCTCCACTAAGAAGTTCAACAGAACTGGTGCAATGTGTATTTTATGGAAGTAAAAAAAATTTATTTCCTTCATAATGTGGGGGAGGGGGTAGGAGCCCAGAATCTTTCCATCTTTAATATACATGTTTCCCTGTAGCTAATATAGCTGAAAGAATTACTATGGCCCCACGAGATTTCCAAAAATGGAAAAGATCAACTCCTATAGATTATTTCACATTTAGAAATTCATTTTTAATCCACATTTTTCAGTTGAATTTTAGTTTCAAATTACTAAATAATTTTCCTTTCTAAACTTCAAGTATTTTTCATGTTCTCCCTAAAAGTCGAGTAGCAAAAGCTGGCTATCACAGAGAACAGGCTCAGTTTCTTCACCTGCATGTCTTAATGGCTTATAATCCTCTTGTGTTTAATTGGGTGCATGCAAATGTTTGAGGCCTAAACAAGGCTATTTTTCTTGAGATGCAAAGAGGGTGAATGACAAGGAACATTACGAAGAAAAACAATTGGCTGGCTGTTTCTTTTGGAATTTGAATAAAACTTAATATTTGATTAAATAGATTCATTTGCAAAAATACTCAACATATATATTTTTTTTATATCCAAGACTTGAGCTCTTGGAGCAGGTGTACTGACATTCAGTTTAACACGTACATATTCACTACTTCCTTTCTACTAAAAGGGATAATAAGGTAGTGTGTTCTATTATATAGAGCATATATACTTAATGTGTTGAACTTAAAACGGATTTATCTGATAAGCTGGTGTTCTCAATAGTCCTTATCTTGGCTACTTTGTTCAGAGAAACAGATGATGCCCTTTGGAGTGGGAAAGAATTGTTCCTTAAGAATTAAATTATTTATTACAATTTGGAAAAGCATCAACTAAAAATAAAAACATAATAATGACAATTCTGGTGGTACCACTTCATGTCATTTCTACTAATTTCTACCGATATTTTCTAAAAATAACTGTAAAACAAGTTCGAATATAAGCTTGAATACCTAAAACTGAAGTGAAATATAGCACTCACTGTGATCCTCAGAGATTTCTTTAAACAAAATGCTTGAGAATTTTGCCTACACACCACCAAGGGAAGAACCCATTGCCATACAAAGATGGAGAGAAGAGAAGGGTGGATCCAGTTTCCCAACAAACACCTAGACCCTCACTGGCTTCAGAATTATATAGACTATAGGAAAGGCTGCTTGCCTGTCTTCTTCTTAAGAAATAATATATCAATGAGAAAACTGGTTAAGTGTGATGTGGTAGAAAGGAGAAAGAAACAGAATAGAAGGCTAGAAGGTGGAAAATGTAATCATTAATTGCAACAGGAAGTCCAAATTATTTAGCTACGTGAAAAAAATTCCAGGTATAAGCAAGTAACAATTCTTACAAATACAGGTGTTTCCAAACCATCACTGTTCAACAGAATCTTACATTGGTAGGAGAGAGAAATTATTCATCTGAAGAAGCAGCAACTGCATTCTCTTTAAAGTCTTTGATACTTGTAGAAATAAAAAGAACTTCTTTCAATTCAAATCCTCAAAATTCCTCAGGGGATTTAGACAGGGTGAGACAATGAACATGGCCAACACTTAAAACAATCTAAAAGATTTTTTTCCTAGAAGACTCAACTTACTTAAACACACACACACGCACACACACGCACACACACACCACAGGCATAATTATCTGGATACAATGAAAAGTCTAATAAAAAAAAAAAACATAAACTGGCATCTTGAGTTAAAGGGTTTAGGATTGACCTATAGGACTTTGGAACTCTGGTTTCAAATATTTACCAAAATGGGCATGCTCCTTTCCTTTGTGTGTACAAAGGAGAGAGAGAGAGAGAGAGAGAGAGAGAGAGAGAGAGAGAGAGAGAGAGAGAAACGGAGAGACAGAAAGATAGGGAGAGAACCCACCATCACTACTAACTACTATTGGCTTCACAATGAAGTAAAGACTCTTTGAGGAGCAATGGGGTCTAGCCCTGGACAGTAGCCTGGTCTGAACCTAAGAAGATGCTCTCCCTGTACAGGGTAAAAAAAAATATATATATATATATATATTCAAGCCATTGTGTCTTCCTTGCTTTTCTCATCAACAACAGCTATGTTCCAATCATTTGACCAATGTTTATTGCGTATTCATAATGGGTAAGGCATGGTGCTCAGCACAGCTCTATTCTGGTGGATTAAATTTTAGATATTTGAAAAGTTGAAGTTAAATCAGCAACCAAACCAAAACTCAATTTCTCTTTCTTTATCTAAGTCTTCAACACCTTTCTCTTCCTTTCTCTTATGACATGATTCTCTTCTTCCTCGCCATGGAAAGAGACTCTGTGTTTACTGCCCAAGTGGGTCTCGTACCAGTGGCTCCCATTAGCCTTATCGGAAGCCTTTGCCAGTATCCTAAATGTTGGCTGGAAGGATGACCTTTGCTACCTAGGAAAACACATTTCCCGCCAGAGCTGAGACTTTGCACTTACGTGGCAGCCTCTGGAGTGGGCTTAGATACTAAAATGTCAATTTCTAGTCATCAAGACGATCGCTCAAAGTTCTCAATTTAGCAATAGGCAACTTAATTGCTAAATTTTATATCCATCTGGCAATTTGTTATAAAAGAAACATGCCTCTACTTGCCCCTAAATGCTACTATTCTACTATACCAAACCAGCAATGACCACGAGATTTTAAAACATGTACTGCAAAGACCAATTTACTAATTTTTCTAAATTTACAATTTTAGATAAAAAATCGTCAGTTAAAAATAGCTGGAGTTCAGGTCTAATAAAAAATATAACTGGCATCTCTACATCAAAGTCAGGTTCAAAATGTAAAAGAGTCATAAAAAAGAGCCATTTTTTAAGTCGAATACAGCTGAGTTTTATATTTAATTGTGCTCTCTCGCTTTCCAAAATAATTTGCTTTGTGTACGTTAGGACAAAGGATTTCTGTGTATGGCTGAACAGAGGTTAATCATGCATGGAGGCAGCTGCACCAGACCCAAAGAACAGACCTTGGGTGAACGAGAGACCGATGCCATCTGAATAAATCAGTACCTGTGTATTTCCTTTAAAAAACCGGGTCTCACTTCAAGATTAAAGAGAGAATCTAACTCCCCTCCTACATCCATCTTTGTCCCGTGCAGCCTCCCACCAGGACAGTGCTCTTCCTAAGACTGAATCAGGCCTTCTTTAAAAGGCCCAGAGGCCTGTAGACGGCTTAAAGAGAGAATTCTTCACATGGAAACTTAGGGATCTGAAACTGACTTTTTCCTCTTCACTCCATCACAAAACTCCGCCATCTTTTAAAAAATATATCTGATAGAATTCAATATTACAATGACATTTTTCCTCCCCATCTCTGAATCTACTCTTTAAAAAAAAAAAAAGGATAAGGAGATAATACAGGAAGAACGAGAGAAAAAACACTGCTGAAAAAGCACACATTAAATACCAGCTCTTCGAGGCAATTAACTTGCGAAAGTTGTAAAGATGTTGGTTTAGTGGAAAGGTTTTATGCCATGAGAAGTGCCCCTCGAGTGTGATAAAAGCTTACTACTTTGAAAAATACGAAAGGCTGCATTCTTAAGAAGATGCTAATCTACATTATGGTACATATCGTGTAAACCTGACCCTTTGGGAGGCCTGTTTTGTTTTGACTTGTTTTCCTCGAGGGGAAAATAAAAGGATATTGCACTTCCCGAATAAGGTGAGATTTCGGACATGTCTTGAAGATCGCCACACTCGGACTTGATGAGCGACAAGGAGAGCCCTTCCGCGGTGCTGGGTGGGTGTGCTGGTGAACAAGGGTGGTGGCTCAGGTGGTGAGATGACATCTTGGTCCTCAGACTCGTCGTCTCCCTAGTTAAGTCTAAGGATTCAGGAGACGCTCTGTCTTTTCCCGAGAAGGAGCCAGAGGGAGCACCTAATGGACTCTGAAACGGGTAGGCCATCAAGGGAAGGGGGAAGGGGTGGCGGAAGGTGGACGTGGTGAAGCCCGCGGTGGCGGAGAGAGGCGACTGGTGCAGCGGCTGGTGGTGGCCGCCAGCGGGGGGGCCGGAGGCAGGCTGGTCAGATGAGTTTTTGCGGACCACCAGGGGCAGTGCTTCTGTCTGGTCTGTGGAACTGGGCATCTGCACGTTGCCAAAGGTGTCCAGGGGGTTCGGAATGATGACGTCACCAAAGCACTGCAGGCGTTGGTTGGCGGTGTGGAAGTTGTGGTTTTCCCCGTTGACTGCGAATCTGGCCTGGGGGATCTGGAGAGGCGGGAAGACCTGAGCAACCTGGCGGGAGGGTTTGGCCGCGAAGACTTTGACCACAGTGTCCACAACTTGCGACATGGCAGAGTTCAGCTCCTGTTTCAAGGTCTCGGCCAAATGTTTGCCTTCTGGTTGTAAGGAGTTTGGCCCGTGGTCTCTCTCTTTGTTGTTACCTTCTCGCTTGGGCTTGTTTTCGGCCATTTCCTGCTCCCTGATCAGGGCTCGGGCTCGGTCAATGAACTGTCCCGGGTCGAGCTCGCACATCTCATTATCTGACCTCCCCACCGAGTCCTGGGCCCTGGCGTCCAGAATCTCCGAGCGCATGCTGTCTTCAGACAGGTTACCATCTTCATCATTTTCAGAATCGGTGCTGTCATAGATTTGGTAGAACTTTTCCTGCAGCTGGCGCAGCTGTTTCTGCATGTCCTCCAGCTGCTGCTTCAGCTGTCGGCGCTCCTCTCGCTTCTGTTCCTTTCGGGCTGAAACCAGCTGCTGGAAACTCTGTTGCTGCTGCTGGGGCAGCTTTTGCTTGCGTTTGTTTTCTCTGTAACTTTCTCGGGGACTCACAGACTGCGGGGCCATCTCTCTTTCATTTTCATTGCCCCTTAACGCCACGCTGGGGGAATGGCTCATACCCCGAATGATATTCTCAACCCGGGCGCGCTTTGCTCTCAGGTGCTCATCACATAAGCGATCCATATCAAACTGGCTCATAGTAGGCCTGCCAAAAGGGGAAAGACACTCTGGGGGGCTGTCTCTTGAAGAGTTGCTGCATATATCCTCCTGATGTACTTCGGAGCCTGTACTAGAGAGACCGCTGGCTTGGAAACTGGGCTCCGTGCCACCATTTTTGTTCATGTTATTTTTCAACAGCTGGGAAATTATGGTTGCTCCTGGAAAAGGCATCATGGCATCTTCATACGAGTTCGCCCTCTTCAGCAGCTTGCGGAGTACGTTTGACTTCTCCCCATCTGCATGCTGCACCACTGAATACTCAACATCCTGCTCGGAACCTTGGGGATTCATGGCACTAAAAAACGTTGCTCTTGCCTTAGCAAAAAATGCAGATGCTGTCCCTACCGTCCTTTTCACTCCAATGTCAACTCTTCTCCTCTTGGTTTGCCGGCTTAAGAGGGCTGTGCTGTCATGGTCAGGCATCACTGGACAGTTATTGTGCCATCTTCAAAAGCTCGTCAGCTGGGCACAGCTCAAGAATCCCGGGACCCTGGCCAACAGAACAAAAGGGCTGATGAATCATTTTCTTTAAATTTCTCCAAATTTCCTGACCTCAATCCTGAATCAAATGCAAAATGCATAGGCTCTGGGATTTATGGCACATTACAATTATTGCAATTTATTATGCACTCTGCTTGAAATGAAACATTTTTAAATATTTCTGCTCCACTGGTTTAAGATGGATTAAGATTAAAAAAAAAAAAAAAAGCAAAAACTGCTTAAGCACCAGTAATATGATTCTCTTTCACAAATGCCTAAAATGATACTGTTTATCTTCAGAAGAAACAGTAGATTATAAGTACACAGCCTCTGACAACCAATTGATTAAATTTTGGGCATTGAGATTCACATTACAAAAGAAGATGAAAGTGGGCTATACTTAAGAAATAAGGTTAAATTTTGAGGCTGCGTGAAATCTGTATGAAAAATTCCATTTCTGCATTGAAATTATTGTGATTTTAATGCTATAAAAGGAAAAAGACACTAAAACAAATGCAACTATTTAACACACACTCTGTTACTGAATTTTAAAATATTTTCATCATATGTGAAACAAACACCCCCATCAGCATCTTTTGAACATAAATGGTCCATTTAACATTGAAATAAATGCACAAATACTCTTATTGCAAGTCTGCTTATTTAGCATAGCCGTGCATTTTTGTTGGCAAAATCGCATTTAAAGATGGTATCTGTTGCTATATTTTAATGGAAGTATGAGAATATAAATTTTTATGATGTCCTTTTGATGACTTAAATTATTACAAAGTTGAACTCACTGCAAAAGGACATTGTCACATTTTAGAAATCAATAAATTTAGCTAGGCAAGGTTAAATACATCTTTAGGACTAGTTTTCTTCTGTTATAATTGGCCAAAATGACACCTCACATGCCTAAAGAAACTCTTTAATGTACACCATTTGTGAATTGTATTTCTTATGCCAAACTTAAGAAAAAAAAAAAAACAAACCCAGGAAAAAAAAGACTGAACAAAGATATGTAAAGAAGAAAGAAAATAACATCACTCCAATATATGTGAGAAAGAGAAACACCCTCTCTGCCTATGAACTTCCATTGTTTCTTGGGAATACACTATATAAAGAGAACATCCTTCCTTGCATTTTATAAAAGGCACTTGACATGTTTTGTGACTGATTAACTAGTGATGCTCACCCCAAATTTGGCATAAACATAAGATGTCACATCTTTTTGCTTACAATGAACATTTTATGAAGAATATGAGACTATTTTTTTTCAAACAGGGTTTATCTAATATTAAACTTCACGTTTGCTTAACAGAGCACATCTTCACAATAACGGGGTCTATTGCCAAAGGCGGCGTGCAGTGCTTGGAACAGCTCCCATCTCTTTCGGTTCACCTGTAAAAACATCTACGTGCTCCCTAGGACTGCATCTGTGGCTAGTTTTAAAGGATGACTATCCATGCAAACAGGCATAATTTCAGCATGAAAAAACCTGTAAAAATCAAGAAAATGCTCAATGCTTAGATGGCAGTGTGTATTTATTTTAAGCGAGAAAGATTTCATCATGCAGTCCAGGAAGATACAACATTTTTAAAGAGCCTGTTTAAGAGTATCATGAGACATAAGCAGTATGATGCCTCTTTATACATTTTTTTTTTTGTATACTTGAAGATAAAATGTCCTGAATTTGGAATGGAAACAGATCTTAATAACTTCAATACTGGGTTCAAAATTGAATTCAGAATAATCGAGACCCCTCACACGTTCATAATAAAATTGGTTTCAGAGTACAAAAATGCAATGACAAATCTTTCACTAACCCATTAGAGCTGATAAATCAGGTGTAACTGTCAGGTGAGAGGAGAAAAAGGAAAGACTGAGACAAACAAGAAAAAAGATAAATTATTTCAAAGCTCAGAAAGACTCGTACATTTGGGGAGGAGGTCTTTTCTGCATGTATATCAGCTTTCCAAAAACAGAATTCACTGCCATTATTTTAAAACTCTACTTCTTTCTGTGTGCAAATCTTTTTCTCTTTAATATTACCTAAACAGCACATGGATCTCCAATTGAAACATTGAACAAACTTTCCACAGTATTTTTCTCCCCCTGTTCACCTTAACACCCAAACTGGATTTTCCTCCTCCCCATCCCTGCTCTGTATGGGAAGCACACCTCTGTAACAGAGGCTCAGAAAGGACATGCTGGAATAAGAGACGAGCACAAGGTCATCCCCGGGCATCCTTCCTTTCCCAACTGCCATTTACCTCTTCATCACCTGCATTTCCTCTCATCTAGCCTAGGTATCAACAGCTGCATCCCTGCCTCATGCTGGAGCCAAGAGGAGGGCTATGCTCTTCCTAAGGTGGGAAGAAATGATGCTCTCCCCTTCAGCGGAGACGAAGTGTTAAACAAGCTTATTGGGTCTCTTTAGAACAAAATATCCTGCGACTTCCTCCAAATTCACCAGACTAATCTGGTTTTTGCAATTCTCTCTCAACCGGTCAGTGTTTTTAGATTAAATAATGATTCGTTTCTGTTTGGGGCTAAGGGAATTTAATTACTTTTAGATCTTGTTGTAAAATGTCCAGCTGAGACACAATAAAGAGGGGGAAACCAAGGAGGAAAATAGGAAAAATTATGTCATCCAGCAAGACAAGGCATTATGTTAATAGGCACGAATAAATATATATTTCTCCATACAGCTTAGACCTAAACTTAGATATAAAGGTAGTAGTGCTTATAACCCATGAATGCTATGGGCAAGATTAAATAACTAGAACTGGTAGACACAGTACTTTGCTAGCACATTTCATAAACAAGATATATATGTAACTATATTCACCACATGAGAAAACACACTGTTAAATGACAATAATATAAATTAAATCACTTGAAAACATTTTCAAACTATTGCCGTGATTTCCTAGTTCAGAATTTAGAGAATGCTATAAAATGACTTTATCGTTGATATTGCTCTCTCCATTAAGATTTTTTTTTAATTCCTTTATTTCTCAACATATGTATTAAGCCAGCATATTTCAACTACAGTTGTTATTGATTCCTGTGTGTGGTACCTGCCGTTGAATCAGCTCCGACTCCTGGCCACCCTATGAATGAGTGACGTCCACAGTGTCCTGTCCTCAACAGCCCTGCTCAGCTCCTGTAGACTCCTGCCTCTGGCTTCTTTTATGGAGTCAACCCATCTGATATTTGGTCTTCCTCTTTTCCTGCTGCCTTCTGTTTTTCCCAGCATTATATTTTAATTTTAATTTTAACATTTTGAGTTTAACCAGTCAATAGCAAACCTCTTGTTCAGCAATCATAGCAGCTAGTATTCCGAGAAATACTGATGTTAAATCTGAACCCAAATGTATTAATGATCAGATACACATACTCTACTCCTGTAAACTCCTCTTTAATTAATGTAAAAATCCATAGAGAATATTTTTTAGTATGAAATATTTCGTTGCATCATTTGGCATCTAACTATATAAATGCTTTAATAATTCCTAGACAACTGACATCTTAGCATAGCAGATTCTTCCCAGGAAAAGATAATATAAGGACAAACATCCAGATATAATCGAGTCAGATTTTAACTACTCCGAAAGATTCTTCATTTAGTTTGGAATTATCTATTCTATTTAACATGATCCTAAGGAAGCTGATAACTTCATGTTAGTAGAAAAGAATTTTCAGTGAAGAATTTTGAAGAGATACTCCAATGTGAAGTAGAAATTAGTTAAGTGCTTTTACTTTAATAAAGAACTTATTTTGGGGAGGGGGTGCAACTTTTATGCGTCTCTCTGGAGTCCAAATTCTGGACAAAGAAGTGTTTCATCATGGTCATTATCCAGATAGTTCAGACAAATCTTTTATGAGACAGGAGGAGTGTAAGGTTGGTATGGTTTCCTATTTGGATTATTTGAAATATCTGTCTTTGTTGATAAAATTATTTGAAGAATTTCTCAAGCTTACACTTTACTTCTTTTAGAAATCAACCTTTAAGTGGGCCTCTCATGTACTTGGGTCAACATGGTTATGAAATTTCAAATGGAATATTACTGACAGACAGCATTTTAAATCAATCTGTAAATCAGTAATTCAAGGGGAGAAAAATCAGATAATTTGATTTAGGTGACTCCCCACCCCCTTCCAAATCACTAAGCTGTCCCCCTCACTGTATTCAGAGTTCATTTTTGCTAATTAGCAACTTTTCCTTCGGAGATGTTTCTACTATCAGGTTAAGAAAGCCTTTGATGTTTATTTTGAAGAACTCACCTGACATAAGTTAATACTTCAATTAACTAAGATTGTATTGTCAAAATCTTATAGCAGATTTAAAATTTTCTTATTATGAGAGTTCTCAAATCATAATCATTTTATTTAAAATTCCTCTATCCTAACAAAAATTCCATACATTTTCACCATCAAAACGAACATATAACATTTCCCAAGATGTGCCTAAAATATTCATTTCTACGTATTTAAAGAGTATTAATTCACCAAATTGGTAAATCAGAGTGAGAAATAATCTCAAGAAAAAAAACACACATTTTTCTCTTTGTGGAAATCTGAAATACTCTAAATGTCTTTGAAGCTTTAGAATACACTAGTAAATAAGATGTAAGAAATTCCTTCTGTATATGTCCTTTCTAATTTATAAAGGTACTTAATTAGAATCCTGTAACGACATATCATGGGCAATCCATCTTCATATTATAAAATCAGTAACATTTTATAATTTCTTTTGTTAATCCTGAACCTAAATAATTCCTTATCTTAGCAGTTGCAAATGCAAGACAATGTCTGAAATGATATGAGAAATTGGAGGGAAAAGGTCTATTTGTACTTTGAACAAATAAGGAGCTGGCCTGACAGCTGGCTTAGGTTTTAAGGTTGCAAGTGCTACTTGTAGAGGAAAGATGTTAGGAAATGAATAAAGTGAGAACAAAGGTGCATGTTATGTATGCATGACTTTTTTTCCCACAAGGTGGTGATTAACCTAAGTAGAATTCTGCATAATGGACACATAAAAATATCAGTAAGTGCCAAGCACAGATAACTCCCTATTAAAAATAAAGCAAAAGAACATATCTGTAGATGACATTTTAATTATGAAAGCACTTCGAAAGCATCCAAGAAAAGTATTAGAGGGAACTTTGATGTTGAAATCTAAAGAATAAATGACACATACTATCTCATTTTCATGAAACAATGATCACCATCCAAGCAACAAAACCAACCGACAAAAACTATTCTCCATCTAACCTAATTCTATGCAACTCAAGAAGTAACTTGTGTAAAAAAAAATTTAAAGGTCAGTTTTAAGAATGCAGGTATAGTGCTTACATTAATTCTCAACATCTTCCCTCACACAGCAAGCCATAGCCCTTACCTTGGTCTATTTTACCATTATATAAAATTATCCACATTGTGTGTACAGACAAGTTAACCTAAAAACTCTCCTTTTTCTTCCTCACCTCATACAACCAATTTCATTTTGAAAATACAAAGAAGTTTTTGCAAGAAACTCTTCATAGAACTGACTGCCCACATCTTGCATCAAATAGAAAAGCACAGTTACCTCTCACGTACTTGAGATTTTCCTTCTCCATCAAAGTAATAACTAGGACATCTGGCACATGTCTGGTACAATGACAGGCTCATTCTACTTTATGAGAATATTTAACATATGACTTGAAAGAGTTTATGCACATACCTATTCTTTCTGGGCAGAGAGAAAGCACGCTAAAAAAGATAAGCTTTAACAACAGTAACACTTTCAAACTGACTTTGGTATTCTTGGCAGTTATACACACCACCCACGGCTGTCCAGAACGCGCGCACACACACACACACACACACACACACACACACACACACACGACAGCTCTCACCCCGCCTCCCCCAGCACAGACCTTGGAGATAGACATAAACTGGACGGAAGCAAAGAGAAAGTCAATCTCCCTCCACCTGCTGCCTGAAGTGGGGGTACTTTCAGCCGCCTGGCAGACAAGTGCCTGAGACAGCCTCAGCAGCAGCCTGCCAACATCTTTAAGAAAAATAAACACATACCAACTTGCCCCCCACCCCCAACCAAAGAACTCACATGGCAGGGCTCAAAACATAACAACAGCCCATTCCCATTAGCCCAGACAATCCTATTAACCAGGGCAACCATAAATTCATAAACCTCTGCAACCCTGGGGCATACATTGTGGTCTGGAACTGTACAGACACACACAGACACAGAGGAAACTTGCACCTGTCTTTCTTGACACAACACACCTGTCAGGCCCTGCTCATGCGCACTCTGCTAAAATAGACCTCCGCCTACCTAGTTTAGGCAAGGAATTATTATTATTATTATTATTTTGTAAGAGAGGGTATAGGTGGGGGGGGGGAGTGGAGAGAGAGAGAGAGAGAGAAGAGACTTCTAGCCTTGACTTTGAGAGAAGGCCATCCTGTGCTTGCTCTGTTTTTATAAGCTCAAGGAGACAACACAGACCTTCTTGGAAAGATTAAAACAAGCAGGTGAGCTCCCAGCCTTCCCCCAGGCGGAGTAGGGTTCTGGATTGCCAAGAGCAGGAGCAGGTTCACACTCCAACCTGTCTCCTTGGGCCCAACCCCTCCTCTTAGTTTTTGCTCTGCGGGCCTGGAGGACGCTGAACTTCCAAAGAAGCTGAGAAGGGGCGGGAGACCTTCGACTCTCTCCAAAGCGACTCCCCCTTTACCTCCCTTCTCCCCCCCATCCCTAATCCGCACTCTCCAGCAACGTTCAGTTTGAGCAGGATGAATAATCGGCTGGCGCTCCAGAAGAACCAACAACTTGCTAAATAGGACTCGGGGTGATGTCTCCCCTCCAAACCTTCCACCCCCCCCTCCACCCCCCAGCAGCCCCCTTTTTATCCGTTCAGGGAAGACGGCAGCTCTTGCCGCCCTCCTCACTATTCTTCCTAGTAACAATTCTTCTCACCTCTCCTTTCCTCCCTCCCAGTCCTCCGAACCCGGGCAAAACTGTAGGTACCACCCTGACCAGACAAGACCGAAGCAGCCGGACACCATATAGACTGCCAGCGACGACTGCGAGAGACTTGGCCTCGCGGATAGGCTGCCCCTACCCCCACCGGACCGCGATCTTCCCGTCCTCCCGTGGCGCTCGGGCCCCGATCCCTTCGCCACTCGACCCCCTGAGGCTGCCGGTGCCGCCTCACCGGACTCAACTTGACCTACCCCTTGGAGCTCAGCAAAGGGGCGCCGCGCTCGTTTCCCGGGACCATCTCTCCACCGCTCCAGCCCCGATTTCAACATTTCGGCTTCGACAGCGTTTAGAAAGCAAAGTAACAGAGCGCATCCCCCTCTCCTTTCCCTCTCCCCTCCTCCCTCCTCCCCGGCCCACTGCTGGGGTTAAAAGAAGTGAAAGGTATGCAAATGACAAGCAAATTGGAAGAGCCTGGAAGAAAGGGAGCTATAATAAACTAGACAAAGAGAAAGGACGTGGGGACCAGCCCAGGAGTTTTAACTCGGGGAGATAAGGATGAGGCTTGGCGGAAAGCGGGGATCCAGACAAACAAAAAGCGCCCCTGTCCCCCTCGCGGTCCTCTCTCCTGAGAAGAGAGGGCGAGAGAAAGGAGGAAGGGAAGCGAACGCCCCCGCACACCCCAGACCCAGTACACAAAAGGTGACAAGATCAGCGACAAGTCCAGCGATATCAGCCTCCCCCCCCATCGCCAACACCACCCCCAGCCACCAGCAGGAAAGAGAAAGAAATAAAAGCCAAGCGGATCACTTACTCTTAGGAACTGGGAGGAGCGGAGCGCTGAGTCCCACTGAGGCTCCTGCTCGGAAACTGTTTAGAGGCTATTTTATTATGATTCATGTAAAGAACACCATTTTCTCCTGGAAAAAAAAAAATAATGTTTACACGGGTATAAGTCCTGGGAGTCCCTTTTCTTCTCATTCAAGAACGAGCCAGTACAAGTGATTCTGGAAAAGGGGAGGGGACTGGCGGAGGGACAGAAGATACTTACGCGGTGCGGAGAGCAGGGGGGACCGAGCCTTTTTTTTTTTTTCTCCTGCCGGCAGAGAGAGGAAAACACGCGCGCGCTCACACCCGGTGGTATCTTGCGGGTGATGACTGATAATTGGACAAGGGACGGTGAGTCTGTGCGACAGCGAGCGAGCCGATCCGGGCGAGAGGGAGAGAGGGGAGAGAGAGACGAGGGCGGGGAGGGGAGAGGAGAGGAGAGAGAGGAGAGAGAGGAGAGCAGAGGAGACGCGAGGAGGAGAGCAGGAGAGAAGGGGAGAGAAGAGAAGAAAAAGGAGAGGAGAGGAGGAGAAAGAAGGGAGCGGAAGAGAGCCGAGGAGGAGCTGGGAGCAGGGAGCCGAGCGCGAGCAGGCGGACCCGGAGAGGCTCCTTTGCGCCGCTCCGCTGTCCCTGCTGCAATGGTGTATGATTTCAGAGCGCTCCCTCAGCTGAGGGCTGCGCTCCACAACAAGATTTACTTTAAGACACAGCTGAAGGAAACAGGAAGACTGCACGTCACAGTCTGACTGACGTACCCGGCCCCAGCACCCAATCGCGAGGCGCCTTCGGATTCAAGGGGGGATTGCGAGGCAAGAGAACTTGGGAGGAAAAAAAAAATAGATGAAAGGGGT